ATCCCTCAGGCTCTCAGTGGGCAGAGCGAGGGCATTTATGTATGTGTGTCTATGTGTGGATGTACATATACCTATGTGTGTGTCTACATGCACACACATAAGAACACATTTGCCTTTATATTTATTTCTTTATCTACGGGTAAGGAGTTCTCAAGACCACCTCCCCGGTCTTAGCTTCACTACAAGGAATCTTGGGACTCAGCATGTAGCTGTGCTCATGGCTAAGCTTGATTACAGCAATGTGGTCAGGAGACCCAGTGAGATCGTAAGGAGGAGAGACGGAGGTGGAGTCTAGAGGAGTCCTATGCTCCAATTCCTGTCCAACACTGCAGGTTCCTTCTAGTCTTTCCCTCTCCCGTATTCACAATGCCCCCCCTTCCAGTGGGAAACCTGGCTCGTGCTGTCTTCAGTACGTTTGTGTCTTTGATCAGGCCCCGAAATGAAACCAGTCTCTGTCACATTGTTCTTCTCATCCCACTTGGGCATCAACACTCAGTGCCAGGCTCGGGCACCCAACCCGTCCCCCACGTGCAGAGCCCTCCTCACCTGCCCACACGCAGCAGCTGCACAGGGAGCCGCCATGCTGCCCCCTCCTCGCCTGCCACAGGTCTGGATCCTTCCAGATGGGGTTTAATTAAGGAGGGCCCTCGGGACTGGCGCCTGTGGAAGAGAGAGGAAGGAAGCCGATTGGGCAGAGGGAGAGATGGACTGTAGCCCACGGGGAGCTCTGGAGTTAGAATGGCCCTCCGTGGTTGTCCCGAGTGGGACCCAAGTGGCCAGGTCTTTTTGCCCCTGACACAGTGAGTCATTATTGCCTGGGGGCGGCCCCCGGGGAAGGGGGAGGGCAAGGCAGCTTTTGCAGCTGGGCAAACCCTACGGGGCCGACAGCTACAGGCTACCCGCCAGCAGCACTCACAGTGCCCCCACCCTGTGCCACGACACTGCGGGTCCCACCCCGCCTTCCACAACCATCACCACTGCCATGGATTTTAGGTGGAATTGTTCCGGAAGGGCAGGGAAGAGGGGAGGAGCTGATTACTTTTAAACCATACTATAATTCTATTTTCCTAAATTTAGATCAGCTTTTCCTAATTGTGAAAACTTTTACTAAAACGCTTGCTTCCACTGAATCATCCTAAACCAGAGGGAGAAATAGGCCACCCTTTTTCCCTTTTCCACGTGCATTTCTTCCCTTTCTCCTTACATCCCTCTAATGTGTCGCTGCAGGTGTCTGCTTTGGAATTTGCAGGTCTGGAAACATAAATATCTGTCTCTGGGCCCCACTTCCACAGTTTGAATTCTAACGGGTTTTCACGTTTCTCCTGCTTTTTTACTTTCTGTTCTTTTATTTTTTAAGGGACTTGAAGAGTCTTGATATTGAGCTTTTTAGAAAAGGGAGCTACGTGGCACCACTGCCAGAATCTTAGTGAAAAAAACTACAAGGGAGAAGGTACCAGTGGCGTATTTTTATTCTTCACGTGCCAGAATGGTAGAGACAGTCTGGGTTTACAGAGTTGTGCTGTTTTTGTTATGCAACACAAGAGAAGCAGTGAGCAGCACCCACCCAAAAGGGAATCAAAGCCCCCCTCCGTGGGGCGGGGGGATGTTTCCACATCTAGGGCCAATGGACGTCCTAGAAAAAAATCAACAGTCGTACAAGGCTGTGGGATTTAAAACATGATCTTATCTACAAAGAATTGCTTTTTAGTTCTTTCTGCACAGAAAGTCAGGCTTGGACTTCAGAGAAATGGAAGAACAAGGAGTACAGATGGACTGGGATGGGAAAGACCAGTGAAGGAACATTAAGTCCAGTTTTTTCAAGTTAGAATTTATTTTTTTTTGTTGATACTTTAAATAATGATTTCTTAGGGGGAAAATATTTTTCCACTCTTCAGAAAGACGTAAAAAAACCCAAATTGAAATCAATTTAGGAGCAGTCTATTATCCTGTTTGTTTCCATCATTACGTTATTCTCGGTGAACCAGATCTAGGTTTCGAACTTAATGTTTTATTCGCCAATTACAGAAATGACAGTGTCTTTATGTTACGCTCCTATTTGCACAAATTGCCTGATGTCCCTGCTGTGTCTGTGGTTGATTGTTAGGGACCTGAATGTTTGAGGCTGTGAAAGCAGGTTGGCAGAGAGTCTGTGTCATTGTCTCTCATTGTCCATCCCAGCTTTCCTTGGTAGTTCCTTCTCTCTTGAGTTTGGTTAGTTTTCCAGAAGCTAACACGAGTGTTCTCTGCCAGAGCTACTGCTGCATACTGTTTTTCTAGAAAATAAATTGTTGTTCAAGATTTCAGTTTGGAAATTAGGGTGCCCATCGAGGACATAGTGTAACAGGCCCGGCTGTTTCTATGCATTCTCATTTCAGTGGACTCTGACGTTAGTGAGATGGGAGCTAAATAAAGACCCGTGATCTGTTGCCAGCTGAAGAATTTGCAGTTATTTTATACCAATAATAGTTTTAAAAACTGTATCGAGAGGTGACTCGAACTTATTTCCAGGTGCTCATCTTTTCAGCCAGGCATTATTTACCATAAATATTTGAATGAAGCCTTCAGTCCCTATTTTTAAAACAAGAATCCATCCAGCCTGCTTTCCAGAATATCTGGTTTCCAGTTTTGTGTCAGTGACTTCCTTCCATGTGGTTTTTCTTGGGCAGGAGAAAGTTTTTTTCTCAAAAGTGATGAGCAGCAAGTGACAATATCTAGATTGCAGAAGTTTCTCACTCTAAATTATTTGTCATATTTGTGTGGAAGGGGACGGGTCATTTTCATTTTTCATGAAACAGGTATGCTTTATTCAAGGAAGGAAAACAATATTGCACTTTCCTGTGCCGTTACCAGGCTGTGGGGAAGACATCAGAAATTAATTAATATTTAAGTACTGTGGCAGTGAAATAACCATTTCTGTAAGCAGTGTTAGTTGTGTTTTTAAGATTCCCATACCGTAATACCGTAAAATCAGATCATGGTGGATAAACACAAAAGATAAACGTTCAAGATGGATAAATTAAAAAAAAAAAAAAAGAGACCTTTTGAATTTCCACGTCTCATTTTCTGGTGCCTTGAAAAAATTTGGGGGAAAATTTTAATACTTGAATGGTCTTCCCTCTAAGAGAAGAGGAGAAACACATAAGGATGACCTCAGAGAATTGTTGCAGAATGTAATCCAAAAAAGGAGAAATTCACAGGAAGCGCCAGCCATGATTAGCATGAAAAACGCATTTGTTGTCAATGCTGAAGTGTCGACAAACTACCTTGGACCCCTGTTCTTGTCTTGCTCTGCCCCCTTGAGGTGTGAGAGTTGTATTTATCAGTCTGCTAGATCCGTCATCACAGAATATCACAGACTGGGTGGCTTAAACGACAGAAATGTATTCCTCACGGTTCTGGAGGCTGGATGTCCAAGATCGAGGTGTCGGCAGGGCTGGTTCCTCCTGAGGCCTCTCTCTTGGGCTTGCAGATGGCCGGCCCCTTCTCCCTGTGTCACACACACTCCTGGTGTCTCTTCCTCTTCATATAAGGACATCAGTCCTATGGGATTATGGCCCCACCCTTATGACCTCATTTAACCTTAATTACCTCTTTAAAAGCCCATATCCAAATACAGTCACGTGGGGGGTTGGGGCTTCAACATATGAATTGGGGGGGGACACAGTTCAGTCCATAACATGCGTCAAGGCCCAGTGTGAGGTCCCTCTGTTAGAGTTACTGCTTTGTGGAGAGGAGCCCAAACCCTGCGGCAGGATTGGCCCAGTGCAGGGGGCTTCCCTGGAACCAAGCCTTCGTTCACGGAGCGTGTCTCACTTTCCCAATCGAGAGAGGGACATGAGCGGGTGCCCCAGTGGGCAAGCTGTGTCGAAGGCTCTGTCAGTTCACGCTGCTCCTTTTACATTTAGGAAATAGAGAAGTCTTTTTCTTTGACTGTTGGGAATTCACCTGAGGCCCGTTATGTGAGGTTCTGTGAGCGTTCAGGTCGCATGCTGCCGGCGTCTGCAGTGCAGCGAATCCGTACTCCGCTTGTGTCTCATTCTTAGGGCTGCTCTGCATTTTTTGTTTTGGGGGTTTCTTCCTTGTAAAATCCATTGTGTTTCTCTCCTTTTAAATGTAACCTTGCTTACATATCACCATTTTGTACAGATACCATTTGCTATAGACTGAATGTTAATATCCCCCCAAAATTCATATGTTAAATCCTAACCCCCATTGTGATGGTATTAGGAGGTGGAGCCTTTGGGAGGTGATGAGGTCACGAGGGTGGAGCCCTAATAAATGGAATTAGTCCCCTTATACAGGAGACCCCAGAGAGCTCCCTCACCCCTTCTGCCATGTGAGGACACAGAGAAAAGATGACATCTATGAGTGAGGAAGTGGGTTCACACCACACACCAAATCCACCTGCACCTGGACCTTGGACTTCCAGCCTCCAGAACCATGAGAAGTAAATGTCTGTTGGTATTTTGTTACAGCAGCCTGAACAGATGAACACACCATTTATGAATAATGGAAACTGTGTCCATTTCAACAATATGATATGTAGTCTTGACAAAGATAACATTTCCATTGTTCTGAATTTGCATGATCTTCAAAGAGAATCATGACACCATATGCACTCCTATTTTTCAAAAATTAAATACTGCAGAAGCAAGAAAATACACACTATATTTCGTTAACTTCATTTTGAGGACCAGGTCCACTAGGTATGTACCCTATACTACTAATATCTGATATTAAATTATATACAGCACCATGAGAACATGCTCAATGGAAATCTTTATTACGCCGATCCTGTTTAGCACTGTCATCACAAATATTGTGATTTCTTAAGAATTTCGTAAGAAGATCAAAAGGAAAGATAAAAACAAATGACGTGGAACTCACACACAGTGTGCCCTGTTGTTAGAAAATAAAGGGACTGCTTTTGGAATTCGCTGCACCGAATAGGTCTGAGTGGTTATCCGGTCTAACCATCAGTTTCCCTCCCTTATTTCTAGGTACAGAGGCAAGACGTACAGGGCCGTGGCCAAGATCGTTCGAACCTCTGACCAAGTCGCGGATTTCTGCCGGCGAGTTTGTGCCAAGCTGGAATGCTGTCCGAATTTGTTCAGTCCTGTGCTGATTTCTGAAAACTGCCCGGAGAACTGCTCCATTTATACCAAAACCAAGTACAGTAAGTACAAATAATGAAGAGAACTTTGGTCCACGGGCCTCAACTGCGGGGAATGTAGTTGGTGGGTTTTTTTTAAACCTTTCATATAGTTTTTCACAGGAATTGCTATGGAAGAATTTTTTTTTTTATTTTGTGAGGAAGATCAGCCCTGAGCTAACATCCGTGCCAATCCTCCTCTTTTTTTTGCTGAGGAAGACCGGCCCTGAGCTAACATCCATCGCCAATCCTCCCCCTTTTTCTCCCCAAAGCCCCAGTAGATAGTTGTATGTCATAGTTGCACATCCTTCTAGTTGCTGTATGCGGGACACGGCCTCAGCATGGCCGGGAAAGCGGCGCGTCGGTGCGCGCCCGGGATCCGAACCCGGGCCGCCAGTAGCAGAGCGCGCGCACTTAACCGCCAAGCCACGGGGCCGGCCCGCTATGGAAGAATTTTTTAAGATCTGTTGTGGCCGACGCTTAGGTGTTTTTAGACTCCTATAAGGAAGGGATGGGAATGATGATTGAAGTCAGGATGAATTACCATTGGGAGGCGTCGGCAAAGAAGAAATGAGAAGGCGCACGCTGTCCAGAATTTCAGTGGATTGAGTGATTTTGAAAACGGTGTGGCTGAAAGATCACGATGAAACTGATTGTTGGTGATGGTTAGTAACCAGAATATCTTTCTTGGGGCTCACACTGAGAAATTATAGTGGTCCTTTCCTCGCCCTTCCTTACACGGGGCAATCGTGTCATACGCTGCTTCTCCCCCGTTTATACCACTTTCCTCAAAACCCTCTCGAGTGCAGTAGTTTGAGGGTTCAGAAAGGGTCTTCACTTTCTTGGCTCCCGACTGCGTTTGCTTCTCCACCGTGTCTCGGACTCAGTGTTGCTCCCACAGCGCACACGACCTTCGCGCTGACCTCTTCCCGGCGGGATTGTGCTACTTTCAGCACTTCCGTCTTCGATCCCCCCCGTCACGTCTGGTGCCCTCTGCCTCCTGTGGTTGGCCTCTCCCGGGCCCTGTCCGGCCCCTGTTCTGACTTCATCTCCGTGTACTTGAGCCGCTCCCAGACACCTCCACCTCGAATAGCTCGAGCTGTGAGGACACTCTCTCTGATCCTGGCTTCTGCTGTGTCTGTTATCTCTAATCCAAGAGGCGACCGCAGCCCCTTCACAGTGAGCTGGAAGTTTGCTCGGGCAGCCCACGTTCCAGCCAGCTGCTAGGGTGTCACCAGGACCCACAGAGTGTGGTTGGTGCTCTGTGGGCTCCACCGAGTTGGGATTTATCTGCATATGTGTGAGAACCAGGAATCTGAATGTACTTGAAACACTATTCAGAGTGTAAATTTCCTTCTCTTATATATATATATACATATATATTTTCAAAATCTAGTTTCTACTCCATTCCTGCTAAAAGTCAGTGACCTTCTCCGCCACGTTGAAGCCCACTTCATCCTGCACACACGGTCGCTCGTGGAGGAACCGTAGACATGTTTGTAGGTTCGTGACGTCATTGTCCTTTTGAAGAACTTGTTTCCACGTCTCATTACCTTTGGAGAGGAGGGACTCAGTGAAGCAGGCTGCTCAGTGGGAGATGCTTCTGAATCAGAAACGACTTGACTGAGGGCTAAACTTGACCTTGAATGTCTACCTTAACAATGGGCGTCTGTGTCCTTCCAGGCCAAGGGAAACGAGAGGGAAGAAGCACATTATTACAACTCAAATTTTACACGACTGAAATGAACTTAACGATTTTTCTGGATCTGGTATTAAAAGACTTCAAAGTCCTAAATCCCTTGGGCCAACTTACAGCGAATATTGCTACAGATTGACCTGAAACTCCAGCTGGAGGAGGATAAAACGATGTTTAGGTAGCATTGAGAGCAGTAGTGCCAGTGGTACCCAGTCTCTTTCTAATGCTCTAAAAATGTACTACGTCTTTGGATGCATTCGGTAAAACCAGTTCTAATTTCCAGCATCCTGCTTCTAAAAATCCAGACTGCACCAGACTTGTCTTGCCCACCTGGGGTTTTTGAGCGTGAACAAATGCTTATCCATTTGTACCTGCTACCTAGAGATAACTGCGAAGCAGCGTCACTCAATAGCAGTTTGTCCATGCTCATCAAGGAGTGTGGTCCCAGTAGAACTCGAGATGGGACATTGTTTCAAGTTCTTGTGCAATCTGCCCCTCTCGAGGCTGCTATTATGTGGTTTCTCAACGGTTTTTATAAGTGCCATCCTTATGGACCAAATTCAAGTGAAAGGTATCAAACATAGAGAATTTTGGTCCTGAAGGAAACCTACATTAGTTGGTCCTGATGGTCTAATTTTGCATGTAAGGAAATTGAGGTCCAGAGGGGAGGTGACTTATCCGTATGATACAGCAGCACAGGGGTGTATGGAAACCATCCTTCACCACAAGGCAGGGGGCGGCTACTGTAATCTAGGAGCTGTGCATTTTGATATTTTCTTTTGGCTCACTCCAGCCGTAGATAAAGTTTCCTTTGCTGCATTTGGTTCTTTTGTGAAATAACGGGAGTTACGTAGTGGGACGCTTGAGCCTTTGGTTAATGAGTAAGCTGTCTTGATCATGATCATAATTGAAAACTGGATCCTTAGTAGGTTTTGATTTGTTGATTATGCGTTTGATGTATAAAATACATCAATTATTACTACAAGTTGGTAAATAATTTTCTAACTAGCACTCTAAGTGTTAATATAGACATACATCTCTGCTATAGAATTCAGAAGCAACGCAAGTCTCCACTGAATAAGAAAAGCATAAAGTACGTAGTTATGTAATAGATAAGGAACACTGTTTGGGAAGAAAAATGGTGCTTCATTAATTTGGCCTGTGTGTTCAAGATTGCCAGTTTGTCTTGGTCAGATCAAGAGATAGGGACTCCTTCCTGATGAGGGCCCTCGAGTGGGTATTCACCATTTTTGTTGACGGACTGATTCTTCTTCAAGATGCAGACCTGGGAGCAGTTGTGAGAGCCTCCCGGGGGAAATGATTGCCACCACTGTGTGCAGTATTTGGGGCAAGGAACGGGGGTAGAGAGAAACTCCTAGAAGAATTGTATCCTTGGTTGACTCGCCTTCTGTATTAGTCAGCTCGGGCTGCCGTGACAAAGTACCACAGACTGGGTGGCTTAAACAATAGAAATTGATTTTCTCACAGTTCTGGAGGCTGGAAGACTAAGATCAAGGTGTCACCAGGGCTGGTTTCTCCTGAGGCCTCTCTCCTTGGCTTGAAGATGGCTGCCTTCCCCCTGTGGCCTCACATGGTCTTTCCTCCGTGTGTGTCTATGTCCTAATCTCTTCTTATAAGGACACCAGTCATGTTGGATCAGGGCCTATCCTTATGATCTCATTTAAACTTAATTACCTCTTTAAAGGCAGTATCTCCAAATGCAGTCACATTGTGGGTTAGGACTTCAAGATTTGAATTTGGAACACAATTCTGTCCATAACGCCTTCTAAACATGAGGGTGTTGGAGAAATGTTTTCTTTCTGTGAAACTGTTTTCTCAGAATTGTTTCCTGAGGTCTGAATGAGATGTCAAATTTTTATTGTCCCAAATGAAAGAATGATCTTTCTTTCTGTCTCTCTCCTTTCTTTTCTTTCTTTCCTTCTCCTCTCTTCCTCGTCTCTCTACTCTCTCTGTCCATGTAAGTACATGTGTGTGTAACCTTTTAAAGAAGCTTTTAATCTTCTCTCTCCTTGTAGCCTATTACTACGGAAAGAGAAAGAAGATCAGTAAACCCCCAATTGGGGAAAGCAGCATTGAAATCGGACACCCGAAACCAGCCAGACGGAGGAAACGGCGAAAATCCATTTTCGTGCAGAAGAAACGGAGGTCTTCTGCTGTGGACTTTGCAGCAGGCTCGGGGGAGGTATGTTCCACCCAAAAGCACCTTCCCACATTCCACTAGGACGCCGGCCCTGGCTGGCTAATGTGACGGCTTCACTCTGAGAGTGCAGTGGAAGTTTGATGCTGAATGGTTAGCAACACGAAATTCCAGCATCCCTCCTCCTTGTTTGTTCAAAACAGATTTAACATTTCGGGTATTCTAGCTGGGAAAGGGCTGCACTTGGGACTCTGATTGGGACCGTTGGATCATTTTCAGAGGCCTCACCAAGTTTGCACAGGGCCTGGTTTGCACAGGGCCACCGGGGCAGGAAAAGATTTAGGATCAGAGCCCAGCTCCGTGGCTAGAGTTCAGGCCACCCTATTGCATCCCCCGTGGCCAACCTCCCTTCACGCATTTCCCATCTTCCTAGGAAAGTGAAGAAGAGGATGCATATGCCATGGACGATGACACTGGGAGTGAGGAAACCAGCTCTGAGCTCCGGGATGACCAGACAGACACCTCTTCGGCCGAGGTCCCCTCCACCCGGCCCCGGAGGGCCGTCACCCTGAGGAGCAGCTCCGAGCCGGAGCGCCGGCCGCCCGTGGAGAGGGTGCGGAGGGGCCGGAGAGCACAGACCCCCTCCTGTGCCGAGGGCGGGGACAAGGGGACAGCAGCTGGCCAGGACGCGGCAGAGGTAAAGGCCGAAGGCCCGGGAGCTGGCTTGTCGGGTGTCGCCAGCAGGCGAGTGTTGAGGAAGAAGATGCATTACAGTTTGGGGCCTCGATTTGGGGACACCTGTTTAAAATAGCAAAAATACTGGCGGCTGCTCCAGCTAAGTTTCTAAGTCAGGAGTGAAAGGCTTAGTGATTTCACATCTTCATGGAGCAGGTCAGTGAACATCAGAATGGAGTTCTGAGGGAAGTAATAGCTCTTTTTCTAAAAGCTTTTAAAACTGCAAAGGAGTCTTGTCTGGAGAACAGACAGACTAAGTCCTCAAGGTCCCACTGAACACTAGGCTTTCTCTTTATGGGGTCCCTCTGTGATGCTATAAAATATTAAATCAGCATATCAGGCCTCCCCTAAGCCCACAGGTGGTGCACGATCAGCTGAAGGGCCGTGGGTACATTGTCACAAAGATACATGGGGCCTAGCTGGCTGTCCCGCGTGCGTCTACACTCGCCCTTACCGTTGCTCCTCTCAATCAGAGATGCGCCGTTAGTAAGCAGACCAAGACTTCCTGAATTTGGGATTCAGTGACTGCTAGTGCTGGGCCCTTTTTTTCAATCTCTAAAGGCGCACAAGTCATTGGAGCAAAGTCATAACCCAGACGAGTTGCTCAGACAGTCCCTGGAGACCGAAGTCTCTGTGGCTTGTCTGGGTGCCGAGTGAGAGCCCCAAGGGAGGAGGCGGCTCTCAGTCCTGGAGGTCTCGCTCTGGCCCGCAGGGATTAGGAAGCATCCCACCACGCATGCAGCGATAAAACGACCCCCTGCCCTGCTTGCCTCTGCAGGAAATAAAGCAGGAGGAGGAGGAGAGACTTGTTCTGGAGAGTAACCCGTTGGAGTGGACGGTCACCGACGTGGTGAGGTTCATTAAACTGACCGACTGCGCCCCCTTGGCCAAGATATTTCAGGAACAGGTGCGTGGGTTCTGCTGCCCATTGGCGGTTTTTGTTCTGAGACTGGATCTTTGGTAAACCTTCTGTTTCAGCTGCTTCCTGTGGCCCGGCTCTGGCCGGGGAAGGGGGCGCTTCCTCATTACTGGGGGTGGGGCGTGAAAGTCCGGGGTCCACACGTGGTCCCCATGGACACCTCCTTGGGGGCTCTTTGCTGTCCAGTGGAGATGGAAGTCCTGGCTCTCCACTTGCCTTGTGTGAGGGGTTAGGGGGCCTGGTGCCGCCCGGCCAGGCTGGAAGTCAGGGCCCCTCACTCAGCCTTTGCTGGGGCGGGTGGGGTGGGCCACTTTGTCCTACACTGGAGCAGTTATTGTCTAAATGCTTTTTGTCTCCCTGGGCTACCCCTTTCCCAGTCCTTAGGCGAGAGCAGTGGGCTGCCGATGGGCCTCTTTTCGTCCCTGCCTCTTGGCATTTCAGGGTTGCAGCTTCTGTAGCAGTAAGTCTTGGATATAAGAGGCAAACACACAAAAAACCCCAGAGCACTCACCACCTTATCGTATCTTGGATCCCACAGTCCCTAGCTGATCTGCCTTCTTCTCTCTACCTTTCAGCGTCTTCTTAGGTTTGTTTTATTTATAATGTCCAGGGCTTTTAGTTATACTTAGTGAGAGAAATAGGGAAAAGTATGTCGACTCGATCTTCCCAGAAATGGAAGCCTGGGTCCATTGTGTTTTATTTAATGCTGCTTTCATCACTGTTTTCTTACTTTCTTCACTTCTTCCTTTGTAAAATATCTTAAAACCTATGATGTGTTGAGTGATGTGCTAAATGATGGATAAATGCAAAAACAACTGATATAATCTCTACCTTAAAGGAGTCTTTAATCTAGCAGATGAAATGACTGTAATTAGCTAAAACGTGAGACGTGCTATGAGCCGTAAGAAAGGAGGGTTTTCATTTACATTTTCCTTTAAATTCTTATGAAAACAAATCGCTGCTCTCTAAAAACATGACACCTTGCAGACGTCTCTCTGACCTCACATAAAAAGTTCAAGTTGGAGCCTATGACTCTTGCTCTGCTATGTTTGCTCAATTTGTTGATATGTTTTGCCCCACAATGTAAATATCTGTCTCTCTCAGACCTTGTACTTTTTAAAAAAAATACTGTTTCCCATATCATAAATTAAAGATATGTCTTATCCAGTCTTTTTTTAGATTATATAAACCAATAGTCCAGGAAGAGGGTTATTCAAGCATTAAATCAGAAGAAAAAATAGAAAGGCCTCTGATTTCCCACGCACCCAGTGAATTTCCCAGAGTTTCTCTCAAGGCCATCATAATGCAGTAGTGAATTGTGAAAATCGAATTAATAAGGCTCCCAGCTCCTCCCAGAGGAGAGTAGTTCTTAACATTCAGAGGTCTCTCCTGGTTGACCACTAGTCTTCTGTAGACACCCGGTGAGCGCACGCTGAGTGGGCGCATGGTGGCCAGAGGGACGTTGCCTCCTCGCTGTCTGCCACTCTGTCTGTATGTCCTCTCTGGGCAACACCTAAAAGCAAACAGGAGCAAGATTCGTTATCCGTAAAGAACCTGGTCACGAGCGTGTCCCTTCATTTGAAACACACACAAACAGAAAAGAAAGAGAATTGTGAGGAACTTGAGGACTCAGGTGACTTGGGGCTTGTTGATAAGCTGCATCTCCGTCCTAAAAACAAAAATAAAGCAGTAGGTTGAAGTCCTGCTTAATGCATCGCCTAATGCAGCATTGTGCAGGCTGGTGTTTGTTACTAGTGGCACCACGGAAAAAGCACTGAATTCGAATACAGGGCAAGTGCTGATGACAGAGTTTAGTGTATCTGTTCATTCCTGTGTTCTTTCAGCAAACACAGATTGAGCGTCTGTTATGGCCCTTGTGATATCCAAAAGGCAGATATGGAAGGTAGCGTTCTATATTGGTCTAAAGTCTTGTTTTTCTGTTGTTTTGTTTTTAACTCAAATGCTCAGTTTTAACTGAAAAATATCGTTCAGTTGGACCTATCACAGAACAGAGGACAGAGCTTCCCCCTCCTAGATGCCGGGTTAGCTGTGGGGGCTGAAGACCATTTGTACCGTGAAAGGTTAACAGGCACATGTGTTGATTCCTTTTACAAGTTCCTAGTAATAAACAAGAAAGTGAAAACAAAGCTGACTTGGGGAAACAGGCTAAAATACTGCTTATACAAAGTCATCCTTAATTGTACTTCTCAGCCCAGTTTATAACAATATCTCAGAAAGTTGCATGCTTCCCAAGCTGAGGCTTCTAAGAAATGAAGTGTTCCCAGCCTTTAGTGCTTCTAGAATCATGCCGTGGGCTTCAATTGCTCTTCTCACATCGGTTAAAAGCTTGGTCCTACAGACCCTCTTATTTCTCTCATAGAGAGAAAAATAGGTAGATTTTAATTGATAATAGCCTCATTCCTATTTAATTCTAAATTTCACCTTAGACCATTTCACTTGTAGCAATAAAAAGCCATTGCATGCTGGGCTGTCTGAAGTACGTGGGTACTTGAGTCCTTTTCTGTTCAATCAGACCTTTAATTACTAATTTTTACAAATTTGTTCTATCGTCTTTGAGCCCAAATGCCACAGCCCTGATTTGGTGAGGCCCCCTTGGGGTTTTTAGATGAACTGGAAAGAGCCCGGGGGCTTTATTCACTGACACGTGGGAGAAATCACGGTGCACAGACTGGCAATAGCTGTGTGCGTTCACTCCTCTGGAGGTTGTAAACTCAGCGACTCTGGTAATCACCAGGAGCATTTACAAAAATTATAAACTCCCCATCCCCAGAATACAAGCCTTTTAATTCTGAAATGTTATGGCAACTGCTTAAAAAACCTATACTCTATAATTTCATGCTGCAGACACATACATTATACAGTAAAACTCCATACATCTATAACTAAAACAACACAAAACTCTCAAAATGTTGCCTGTTCATTCACCTTTTATGAGTCAGAGACGTACAATAAGCAAACTACCCCAATTAGTGATTTACTTTAATAAAAACATTTCAGGAGAGTTTACAGGTTTGGTTCACATTTATGCTCTCCACTCCTCTATTTCTATAGACCTGAGTTTCCTCGTGCAGGACCTGCCAAGTCCTAACCTGACCTCTATATCAAAATAAATTTAATTTTGCCGTGTGCTCAGCATAACTTTCATGTTGTATATTTTATCATATTTCATTTCTTAACAATTAGTAGCCCATTTATGTTAATTCTATGTTTAACATAAGTGATTTGCCAGCGATTCTAAATTATATAGGAGCATATTTGTGAAAATTAAGTCAACTGTGAGGTCCATAACTACATAGTCAATGAAAAAAAATAACTTCTTTCAAACCAAAACAAAAGCTACTTACGAGAGGGATTGCAAGGTGGGATTCCTCCCTCATTCCTTGACTCCTTGCAGATCTCGTGCGTTATTATTTTGCCCAGTTTTGCTTCCATTCACCCATCTCTCCCTGCTGCCCCGTGGTGGGACCGTGGGGTGGACGTGGGTTGCATGTGGTCTGCGGTGTGGATGAGAGTCGGGGGTGTAGACGTGTCCGTCAACCACAGTTTTGGTATCACTGAGCCGCCGGCACTGTTCTTGCCCACCAGTGACATCTGATGGCCGGGTTGCTAAACCTAGCACCTTTCTACAGGCGTGACACTTGGGTGTTTGTGAATCAGAGGCTTGATTTTATTCTCGGTAGCGTATTCTTCTCAAAATGAGAACACTCAGGAGTTCTGTTTTACATCATCGGAGAAGACGGTAAATGAGTTGAGAACCCAGAGGTGACAGCCCGAGGCCCTTTGGTGGCTCGGTGCAGACAAACTGCGTGTTAACCGTTGTCCCAACTTCAGATATCAGGCTCAGTTGTGGCTCAGTTCTTCCCAGACTGAAAGCAGGGTGAAAGGTCTCTGTAATGAATCAGATAGCTTAGCCTTAACCCTCCCCCGCCCCCTTCATCTTCCTGCAAACGGGAGTTTCTCTGCAGACAACCTTCAGCTCTCGCGTTTCTTCTCCCTTCTCTTAGTCCCCAATGGACCGTGGCTTCCATGGGGGCCACTGGGAGACCCACCAGACATGTGTAACCAGCTCGTAAGAGAAGTTCAAAGACATAGACTTGATTCCATCTATTTCAGGTTGCCCACACTTGAAATTTGCACCATGGACTGTGGACTCGCCCCACCCTCAACCCTGGCCTCAAAACTGAGACCTCTTTTAAGCGTCAGGCGTTTCACCTCTGCTGCTGGCTGAGCAGAGAGAAGTAGGGCCTGGAGCGTGCTCTCCCATTTATTTTTCTTGTTTGGGAAGATGAGTGGACATGTGTTGGGATGGGGGCAGGAAGGGACTCTGATTTGATCAAGGTTGGAGAGTGCCGTTTAGAGGCCCATGCCCATCATTCTCATTTGGTCTCATCTGGCCCGAGCAGCTCTCCGTGTAACTGTGTAATTTTCCCTAACTGGGGGGTCTCAGAGGCAAGGCAGGATGCATGGGAAGTAACAGAACAGCTCGCCCTGCCACCTCACCTTTTCCTGCACTCAGTAAGAGTGTAAAGAACAGGGTGTTGGTTACAACAATTCCGTGTCGAAGTTCCCAAGACAGCTCATTCTGGAGTCAGTTTTTAATTTGTGTCCTCATCTCATGGGTTTTCTTTTCAAGCAGCCTTGACCAAAAGCTGGGATGAGTTTCACTAGCATGATTTAAGGAATGCACCACCAGTAACTGGTGTTCACCTTATTATTTCTCGCAATTTATTTGGTGAGATAATTCTACGTAACTCAAGCTAAAGTTTGATAGTCCTATACCCTGCACACCTTTGTAGATTAAAAAAGAAAAAGAAAACCTAATGGAGTGTATCAGGCAGGTGGAATTTTCTTGCTAATTTTTTTTTACCCTCCCTTTAAATAACGCCATTTTAATTCTCTAGTTAAAACACATTATTTTTTCTTCTCCCCAAAGCCCCAGTGCATGGTTGTATATCCTAGTTGTAAGG